GTATTTGAGTTTGGCTCTTGATGTCCAATGGAAGATATTTCAAAAGGGAAACTTCTTTTATATATGTCACTATGAAGACAATAGAAGCTCAGCTACCCAAACTAACAAAGTTTGATTTACAGTACAGCGCTTGGCACTCATAAGTATGTGGATTTCAAGGCTATTCAACAGTTTCACTTTTGGAGCCAGCATCACTAAAATCATTTACTTTCTTTTTCTTTTTTAGAACTAAGACTTGGAGTTTCCACAGCTTGTTTTTTTGCCAGGAACAAGAGACTAAGATAAAAAGTAGGGGCTTTTTTCTCGAATGGCTTTTAGTTATTTTTCAGATGAACTTCTTGTTCCTTCTGTGAAGTGAAATAGACAGTGCCTCTGAATAGATGAAAATAATAAGTTACCCATTTTGTTGTCTATGCAAGTTATCATACTTCCATATTATTTTATCTGGCATCTTTTGTAAATTCTGAATGCCTTCAAACTCACCAACCAGGAAGTGTCATAGCTGGGGAGCTGGTACCTGAGAAAGATAAGGAAGTAGATGCATTTTAAGTTGGTTTTTTTTTTACATACAGTATTTCAGAAATTTCAGAAAAGGGAAAGAAGCAGATGACAAAACTTTCTGAAGTTGTTCCTTTTTTCACTTTTTTCAATAGATGACAAGTTAGACATGGAATACAATTGTAAGGTGTGATGTGGGTTACAGGGTAATGCGTTGGTGTTCTTTTTGTAGCTAAGAACAAAGTTACAATTCCTGAAACAGACACAACTCTTTAAATAGACCTGCATGTAGATCTCATCCTTCCCATCTGGAGAGGAAAATTATAGGGAGTCAGTGATGCTCTCCTCCCCTTCTTGGGGGCTATACAGAGGTTGTATTCTTGTCAGGGGATGAGAAAGAATGTGGAAGGAGTCAGGGAAAGCAAAGGGTCAGGAAAACCTTGGCAACCAAAAAAACTGTAGCACTACGGAAGGAAAGACATTATATAACCATGTAACAGGCTATTGTGGTTGCGAAAAACTGAACATTTTGAACATTATCTGCTGTGCAAACGATATAGTCAGCAGTATTCATACATGTCCTCCAGGTTCATGTTTTTTGTAGTTTACTTGATCAAGATATGACCATATTAAAGGTGTTACCTTGGATGGATGTGGTGCGTGAAGGACATTCCTTCTTTGTTGATTCATATGTAATTTCTCTCTGAGAATAGTTCTCGTTTGAGTTACAGCACATTCCTCTTGCTTGTATTCTTTAGGCATGATCATGCTATGGAGGTATCAGACACGTTTTGGTAGGGTGAAAGCTCTTCATCTCAGCTGCTTCCTCAAAGCATCAGAAGCTCTGTAAGAGGCTTTCTTATACTCAGACATCCCATGTGCATCCCAAGGAGATCTTCCATGAGATGGATGAGGGCTGCAGTTTGAATGGGGCTCTAAGTATGAACTTGTAATATCTCTATGATCTGAGGCTGAAGAATTGTTCAGTCAGACTTAACTGCATCTTCTCACCTGAATTCCATGCCTTCCACAGGATTCTGTCCTCTTAAGCTGATGGGACACGAAGATGCTTGGTAATAAACATGTTGCATGTTGCTTCTATGTTAGGCCCCTGTATAGGTGTCATTGTTCCAGCACTGGGTATTTTTTGCAGAAATCCCAAATGGTGGCTTTAGATGCAAATATCAGGATGAAATGCCATGAAATATTTTATTGCTGACACAGGAAACAGAATGTTGAATTAGATTAGTTCATTTCTATCTTTAAAAAAAAATATCTCCTTTGCCAAAAGAGAAGGATTAGCCCTCTCCTCCATAGGTCCTTGGCCATAAGTCACAAAAACAGTGGTGAAGTTTTTGAGACCAAATTCTGAAGGAGGTTTAGCCTTGCAGCTTTCCTCTGATAGCCTCCATGAGACAGCGCAGTACATTGAAAATGCAGGAAGAGGGTTAGAAATGTTGGATAACTACCATGTTGCACAATGCACATTTGTTCAAATAATTCATTAAGGTATTGAGAACTTGTGATCTCTTTTGTCTAGTGGAAATTAATTGAGGTTCATCATATAGGTATTTAGCAGGGTTGTAGAAGTATGAGTTAAAGCAAGTGCTTAGCACGGTTCTGAAATGGTTTTCTTTTTAAAAGAAATTAATTTCTTTTATTACGTTCCAGAAAAGTCTGAAGCAAGTTTCGGTTTCCTGAAGGAACGCTTGTGTTTTCTGATGTCAGGCCAAAAATGATGTGTTCAGTATTTCCAAACTCCCTTCCGAGACACACAATTGTTTTATCTTTGTTTGTCCATCAAAGCCTAAGAAAAGTCCTTTTTGATTACTAGATGTATTGGAAAACATATATGTACATCTCAGTGCTTAATTCTTTTAATCTCTTTTGCCTTTAGTAATATTTTTGTAATACTTGTTACATTCCAGTCTTCATTATACTCTGCATGTGTCAGAATTTCTTCCAGTTGATCCTGTAATACTTGATCTCACTGGGAATCTAGATACATCTGATATTTTTATCCCCAGCATCCTCCTGTGTGCCATTTGAATAAAAAGCTAGATTATCGGAACTCTTGAGGTCAACTGCTAAAACATGTCAGCTGATCTCTATTTGTTTTCAGACAGAACAGCCAGTTCTGAAAAATAAGCAAACTTCATATGCATTTTCCTATTTGCAGGCTGATGCTGAGGATAGTATGAGCAACAGTAAAGTACATGTTCTTTTTAAAATACATAGAAGGCTCGCATTTGAAGTTGGGTAAAGAGCAAGTTTTAAGATATTTTTAAATTTCTTGGCAGATCTGCATTTTCTTTAATAATATTTGTTGGCTAACCCTCCTCTTACCTGTACTGTCTGAGTTAAATTTGTCTGATCACTCAGCATAGTAGTTTTTCTGGTAAAGATCCAACTCCAGTAAAGTTAATGGCTGCTGTCCAGTTTAATTTACTGAGAGTTGGATCAGAGTTATTTCCTATTTCATGTTATCTGATGAAGGACTTGATTATAATTTTTCCAGCATGCGGATGTGACCTCCTATATTTATATCTTTTTGTGTCTTGAAACTGATTTCCCAGAAACAGGGAAATTCTGCCTTTTCTCCTTCAGCTTAGCCTATGGTTATTTAAGCAGTCAAGGCAGAAGAATCTCATTTCTTGCTCCTCTCTGAGACTTATGATTTTTTTTTTGATTCATCTAGTAAAAACAATGATGTTGATAATAAAAATAAGGTATTCTGGGAGACTCCACTATGGCAGTTTCAGTGAATTTCAACTTCAGCGACTTGTGGTTAAGCATTGCTAGGTGCTTCAGGTTTCCCTGTTTTATTGTCTTCTGTGTAATTTTTGGGTTGCCTTATTTAATTTTTTCATATTTCTGAAAATGGTAGTTATTAATATTATTTTTAATACATACTTTCTGCCTGAGTTCACAATTTTATCTTCCCACAATCATCTTATGAGTTTATGATAAGTGTATAAAAAAAATGGCTGATGCTTCTTATCTTACCTAGGGTAAGGTCTTTGACAGAGTCATAAATGTGTTTAATACAATGTGCTTTGGTGTTTCTGTAGCAGCTTGTACTGTCCAGCTATCCTTTGATGAGGATGCAAATGTAGGGGCAGCTGCAGTCAGAGAAAAAGCAGAAAAAGCCCGTTCCTGAAGAAGGTGCTCAGCCTGTAGGCCTGCGGGAGCCTTATATACCTGGGTATTACTGTCGCCTGAACATAGTATTTTGGAGCTAGCATTAGGTTATTAACTGTAAAATGTGCTTGACTCAGAGAGTATTAGGTTGCTGTAGTGCCAGCTTTTCAGCAATTAAATTTCTTTAGCAGTTACAGCATTGCTACTTCAGCCTTTATTTTTCCAAGTTATTTACTAGATAATTATTTTCCAAGTTATTTCCAACTCATTTACTAGATAATTGATTCTGTGCTGTTTATAAAATATACTATATGATGACAATATTTCATAGACATCAAATGACCAAATATTACATAGCAACTGATTTGCCAGAGACATTTTAAAAACTTGTATATTTTGTTTTGGATTTCTTGCTGCTTTTATTTAGTGATTCATAATTGACCAATACAAACTACTCACGTAGCTGAATAAATAAACAGTTGAGATTTGGAAACTTTTATCCAGTCTTTGTATTCATAGCATTTCCCAATTGAAAATGAAATACTGAAAATATTATTTTACTTTTTTATGGCTAACATTGTCACTGTGTTAGCCAGTAACAGTTTTCCCCAGAAATAGTAAAAATTGGATTTGTACACCCACTGGAAACCCAATGCTGAAAATAATCTCAGATTTGTATTACCAACTGCTGTACTTCGATTATCCATAAACAGGACATAAGAGTTCTGAGAGGCATATCAGTAATGTACTGCATACCAGTACCTTGAAAGGGCGGCATGTTAGTAATTTTTAAAGTGTAATTGGGAAAATGAGTTCATTTGGTTCAACAGGGTAAGCCTGATGCAGACTGATCAAGTCGGTTTTCCAGCCTTCTGCTATCTAACTTATTTCTTCATTTTTGAATACTTCGGAACATGAATGATATCACCTCTTACACTGATAGCACAGTTTTCAAAATTAGGCAAAGTTATTTCTAGAGTTCAGCATTGTTAGAAGTATTCTTGACTTGGCCCTACAAAAACATTTGCGCTGAAAGCAAACCTGAATAACTTCTCCATTTGAGATATAGTGTCATTCAGTTACTTGGAATTACCCACATTCTTTCATTTTATCAGTTGTTTGCAGGATCAGATCTTGACTTGGCCTTTTTAAGTCTGGTAGACGCTGTTACAAGTGCTATTTGTTTTCCCAGGCTTTAAATTCCGCCTTGCAAAAGGCAGCAGAGGGCGCTGAGCCCCCCGGCGCAGCACGGAGGGCTGGATTTCTTCCTCCTGCTCTGGATTTCCCCGTCCAGGGATTTCCCGCTGCACCTAGAGGGGAGCCTTTATAAACAGGCGCTGGAGCTCTTCTGGTAAACTGGGGCAGAGCAGCGGGACCTCACGGTGCTCCTCGACAGAAAATAGAGAGCAAGGCTTTTGAGTTTGCTGTCTTTACCTAGTAACAGCAATTACAAATGTCAAAACAGATGGGAAGAACAAGCCAAGCTGTGCTAATAATTTTGCATGTGATAATGACTGGTAAGTTGAGGGCGGGGTGGGGTGTTTGCTTTATTTGTTATGAATTTTGTTAATTGTAAACTGACCTACAATTTACCTCTTGATCTCTATTTCTCTTTGTTCCAGTTGCTTTTACATTTCAGTGAATACTACTGTCAATTAAGTAGTTCTGTCAAAATGTCAGGAAGGTTTTTTTTGACATTTACTTTGACATTTTCTGTATTCTGCAATGACACAGTCATTTTCGGATTGAGTTTGTTAAAAAACAGTCTAGGAGTCAACTGCAGTATATCACTGCGTGTTTAATTGTTACTGTAATCCCTGACAGTATCAGTCAAGTTTGACACTAAATGACCTGTTGAAAGTGATTCTGCAGTTGTCCTTGGTATCTTTACTTACTACCTCTCCCCTCAAATGTTATAAAGTTTTAGAACCAGATCCACCTGTCAAAAAGTTATGTTGTGCCAATACATTTATTTTCACTGACAGCATTGGGTTTATGCCATTTTATATGAGAACTGTCTGTGGGAGTCATCTGAGTCTGTGTTATCTTTGACAAAAGTAGCAACATTTATGGGGTGTTTTGTAGATGTAAACCACTGTATAAACTTTTAGTTTAACCTCAACACAACTCTAAAGTAGGTTTGAAAAGGAATGACCTTGTGTCACAGCAGAATATGCGAAGCAATGCGAAAATAAATGTTAAGAATGCTGCTGAGTTTATGTATGTTCTCCCTCTTGTAGTTAAAGCTTTTGAAATGGAGATTATACCTGCTAACAGAATTGTTGCACAGATTGGAGAAACACTCATACTTACGTGCAATACTACTGGCTGTGCATCACCAAGGTTTTCCTGGAGAACCCAGATGGACAACCCACTTGGAGGAACAGTGAGCAACTATAGGACATACTCTACCTTGACTATGAATCCAGTTACCATTGTGAATTCTCATGCTTATCTTTGTACTGTCTTCTGTGGTGAGAATGAGAAAAAAGAGAAGAGTATCAAGGTTGAACTTTACTGTAAGTAAAAATGTAAAATTTTCTTTAGGAAGTACATATTTATAAAAAATCAGTAATTGTTTTTAGATTTCTTGATTGGTAGTTGGCTGATAACGCTAGGATAATAAGTGTGCTCTACTCATCATGTATTTCCTTGTAAGGTCCCTTTATCTGTCTGTTTGGGCCTCTTTCTCAGCAGCTTTCTGCTTTCTGCACTGAGAGCAAGTAGTATTTACTGGTCTTATTTATTCTTATCCTTGGCAATGCTTGAAAGCCAAAACATAGGCTCCCCAAAACATTCGTAGAACTGGAAAAAAAAAACAAATCCTTAGCAGTTTGCAGGGGTATGATTCAGATGTCTAAACCTACCAGCACAGAAAACAGAATACCACCACTCTATGACTGCTCTGAATGCCTATATTTGGGCAGCTGTATCAGTGCCTAGGTGCCTTACTGGATCTTATTAGATCATTTGTGATCATATTTCAACAGCTGTACAAATGTAATTCCTGTTAGAATATGAACTGCTTATAAAAGACCAGCGTGTCTTCACATCAAGAAATGTCTTTTAATAAAGTTGATACAAAGTCATGTTCTGAACACCTCTAAAATCAAGATGTTTGATGTCTGGATCTTGCTCTGAAGTTGACCCTAGAGCTCATCTCTGCTAGACTAAAGAAATTGATTTTATTATTTTAGCTTTCCCCAGTGATCCTGTCATTCAGATCAGCCCGTCCTTAGTTGATGGAGAACCAGTCACTGTTGTCTGTAAAATTCCTGATGTGTATCCTTCTGATCACCTGGAAGTACTCCTAAAGAAAGAGGAACAAGTTCTTTATGAGAAAAATTTTTATGATGATGACAGCACAAATACAGAGACCAAAAATGTGACATACTCATTTAATCCCACGGCAGAAGATGTTGGGAAAGAGATCACCTGTGTGGCCAAGTTACCAATTGCTAATATGGACTTTGAACCCAAAGAAAGAGTAACTTCTCAGAAACTGAATGCAAACTGTAAGTAATTTTAACCTAGGGCTTTCATACCAAGTCCAGTTAAATGTCAAGTTTCATGGAATGAGTTTACGAAGTGTGTGTTACAAATAATTTATAATCTGCACTTCTTATATGTATTATTTATGTAGATAATCTATTGTATTCAGTTGAATTCTGTTGTATTCATTAATGGTCACTGAGTCATTAAATACCAACTATTGCTCATTACAGAAGTTAAGCAATGCTTTAGTAACTCTTCTCTCATTCTCTTACCTTGGGCATTGGTGCTCAGTCAGAAGGTAAAGACCAGAAGAAAAATGGCAGCATGTAGATAAACAATTGCTTTTCAAATTACCATTGTATGCTTAGTAGTTCCAGCTTGATAGTCCTAAACAATAGGGAGACAAATGTAAGAGTAAAAAAAAATAAATTTGTTATTTTAGTTTCGTCTAGCTTAGCTTTTGAAGCAGCAAGGTAAATATCTTATTAAGTCTGGAAATACTGTTCCACTGTTACTAGAATACACATTATTCATTTTTTCTTGATATTGTGTGAAACGTACCTCTAGAGAGGCTAGTGTTAAAAATGTGCATGTCATTCCTCGTTGACTTACTGGCCTTATCTCTCTTTTGCTCTCTTCCAGTTGGTCCACAAAATACTATCATTACTGCATCTCCAGGCAACTCACCAATAGAAGGAGGTCCTCTGAAACTCACTTGTGTGACTGAGAGTAATCCAGCACCACAAATAGTTTGGAGAAAACATCTGGCTGATGGAAGCATTCAGCATCTGATAGAAAACAATATCCTTTCTATTCCCCATGCCCGTTTCACTGATTCAGGACTGTACATCTGTGAAGTAATTAATCCGGTAACTAATAAAACAGAGAAAGCAACTGTGGACATTGTTATACAAGGTACAAGTCTGCATGAATTTAACTTATACTATCCAATACTCAACTGGCAGCTGCCTATTTGATTGGAGGATCCTGAAACACTGAAAATTAGGAAGTTATGGGGCCTTTCTTGTGATGTATGCAGGATTTAGCTTTCAATTTGCTGCTGTTCTTCATGGGCTGTGCTTTTAATTTCTACACATAATTTTCAGCTAATTCTCTCTGTACTGCTGTTGTACGTGCATATCTCTATAAATTTCCTGCAATGCAACACTCAAAGCAATAAAAGAATCTGAGAAGGTGATAGTGCAGTGTGCTAATGTACATAGGAATTTCACAGGGACACCACAGTCTCTTTGAACTAGTAGTTTTAGTCATTAGTAATAAATTTAACAGTCATTTAATAGTAAAACTATTTGGGATGTCGTTGTTGTTATTGCTATGGCTTCAATAGAGCCAAAAGTCTCAGATGGAGCCTGGCACCACAACCAAAATGAACAGATCCTTGGGCGACCGATTTCTACTTTCTTAAAACCCTCTCCACCTTTAGTACTTTTTTATTAGTATAACGGCCTTTTCTTTTGTCATGCAGGTGCTCCAAACATCACAGAACTCTCCATTGAGCCTGCTACAACAGTTCAAGAAGGACAAAATGTTTCCATACAATGTTCCGCTCAGAGTAACCCTCCTCCCAAGATTATTTTAAGGAGAAAATCTGACAGTGCAGATATGGGGCCTGACAGTGAGGGGAGAATTATTCTTCTGTCTGTGACGTTTCTAAATGGAGGAGACTATGAATGTGTAGCGGAAAATAAGTTTGGAAAAAGTAAAAGTGAAATAACACTTAATGTAGAATGTAAGTATGTGTAATGTTTTCCCAGTAATTTCAAATTAATTAGTTAATTCTCCACTTACTTAACTCCAGTGATAAATGTAACCATCAAACTAAACAAAACCCTGTGCGTAAAAAAAAAATCAGCATGGTCCTCTGCTCTTCCCCAAAGAAAGAAGCAGTGCTGATGAGCAAAACAAAGACAAAAATCTTTAATGTAATGACAGTCTTAAGTCACTATCTGAATGAGTGAGAAACTGATCTGGCTTCTTAACGTTCTTGATTAGAACTACTTGGTTAGTACGTATAGGGTATAAAGAGTTTGTATGGAAGCTCTGATACGGCATGCTTCACTCATTCTGAGAATGAAAAAGAAATTAACTTTAGGAGGCTGATAACTTGGCAACTAGTTGGACATGCTGGATCCATCTCTAAAAACCCCAATGATTATTAACTACAGGATCCTTCTTTTCAGATGGACCAAAGAATACAATGATATCTGTTATCCCGGCTACTACTGTTAAAGAAGGAGAAACTGTGATGATGAAATGTACTAGTTCTGGAAATCCAGCTCCAGTGATCTCTTGGAAGAGAAAGAAGGCCACTGGGGAGTCAGAGAAAATTTTTGAAGGTGAAAATTTGACTATACAGAACATAAAAAGTCAAGATCTGGGTCTTTATGAATGTGAAGCTTATAACCAATTTGGCAAAGAAGAGGAAGCTGTGAATTTACTTGTTCAAGGTTAGTAGAAGAAGACAGAATGCAAGGTTTTTTGTTTTATGTATTTTAGGTCCAGATCTCATTCTGTGAAGGACAGGGGAATTCTGTAATTTATTTCAATGGACTTAAAAGGTGGCCCTAATGTCATTAAATCATTTAGCGAGCTTTAAACAATGAAGAATTAAATCTGCCTTAGTACAGATAGCTTATGCAACGTTCTCATGTCAGCTGAGCTTCTATCACTCCTTCCAATTGGCAAATGTATGTATGAGGCAAAGAAGCTATGCAGTGCCTATATTTTCTTACAGACATATCTCAGTGGAGGATCCAGATACCTGCATACAGAACATTCAGAGACAAAGTAAATGCTGAAGCTTCTCTATGGAGGGACTGTATTGCAGACCCTTGACTCTCCTTTATGACTCTGTATCCTGTTCTCACAAGCCACATTTAACCCGTAGCAAATGTTGATTCCGCAGCCTACGTGCTATGACAACAAAGTATCATATTCAGTAGTAAGCAGACTTCTCTGCTTTACCCCTGCTGCTTCTGTTTATTGCATGGCAACATGCAGTAAGTGCATTGCTTAGGGATCACTTCTGCCATTAATCTGTCTCTCTTCTTTATTCTTTACTTTTTTGTAGCTGCACCAAAAAATACACGTTCAATTTTCCCTTCAAGTGTAGTGATTCAAGGAGAAAGTGTTACCATCTCTTGCACATCTAGAGATGTTACATCTGTTCAGAGCACACTGTGAAACTAGGTGATGGGATCACAACCCTTGAAACAGTAGATGGCAAATATACAGGGCTCAGCTAAAAGGTACAGGAATGTATAAATGCATATCAGTAATGAACTGGGAGAGCAGTCTCAGCACATAGTACTTTATGTCAAAGGTTAGTTAAAGTAACTACTGTAGATAGTCAATATTAGGACTTGTTTTAGACAGAATTACATCTTCAGTTCCATTAAGAATGAATTGTCTTTAAAAAACCTGAGATTAGTTGCACAGGTTCTTGTCATAAGTGGCAGGATCTTACTGTGCATGAAAACTTCTGTCCAAAATGGCAGATGCACAAAATAATTGCTACTGCAAAATTTTTCAGTTCCACTTCCGCCTTCAAAAGTAGGATGTAAAATTGTGGAACCTAGTGAAAAAAATACTATTCTAGGACTCTTTCCTTTGCCTTTTCTGCATCTCTTTCTGACGTCCCTGAGGACATCAACCTCTGGATGCGTTGGTCTGTGTCCTTTAATGAACTCAAATAAAAAACCAGTGAATTTACAATAAGAAGAGTCTCCATATAATGTAAAAGATATGCAACATACTTCATTAATTGAGAAAATATTCTTTCTGTCAGCTGCTGTTGACTGCAGTGTGTGAAGGTAACTAGTGATGAGTAGTGTCTAAAGCTGCATGCTTGAATATTATAGTGAATCCATTAACTGGATTAGTACTTTGTGTGTACAAGCTGCTGATACCTCATGAGTTTTTTTCCTTCTGTTTGTTGCTAAATCCTACTTTGCATTTCTTTTCTTTTCAGTTCCTCCCCAAAATATTACTGTGTTAGTATATCCATCAGAAAATGTTAAAGAAGGAGAAAATGTCACTATTACATGTAGCACATACAGTAATCCACCATCACAGATGGTCCTGAAAAAAGTTCATCAGGAGAAAAAAGTTATTCTGCCATCAATGAATGGAACCTTTATACTCTACAATGTCACCAAAAATGATACAGGCAGATATTTGCTTGATGTTTTCAATGAGGTTGGAAACAACATCACAGTGATTGAGATAGCTGTTGTAGGTAGGTAGATCTATTGCCTTAAACTTGTTTTTTTCTTACTTTCTAATGAATTTTGTGTCAAAGTGATCGCAACTAGTTCATGGCTGATCCTTGTGCAACAGTACTACAGTTATCCAAAAAGAAGAACCACCAACAAACAAAAAGCCAAACAAAAAAAACCCAACAAAAATCCAACCAAATAATAAAACAACTGATGAGAATAAGCTGTATTTAACCTCCCTTCAGTAAGACTAATCCAGAGAAAGTTCTGTTTCACAAAAAGATCTACAAGTTGGGCTTTTAAAACATGGTCTTCTCCTGAAATGTTTTTTTCCAGGAGGTAGAAATGTCCCCAAATGTTTCCTGAGTAAAATACATTTTATTCTTCTTGTATTCTTCATGAACTCCATAGCATTCTGCATTGTAGATGATATCAGATGGATTTGCACTTGCATAGCAAGTTCAAGACCAAGATGGTGGCTAGGAATTAGTATGTGTGATGCTGAGTTACTAAAGCAAAAAGCACAAAGAAAAAATTTTGAAATGTGCTTTAGGCATGAAAGCAGGAATAGTGTTCCAAATGAAGGTCGTTAGTAACACTGCTTTTACAGTAATAAATATGTATCTGTTTCAATCAGTTTTTACACAATTTTTTTCTTCTTTTGTCTCCATTTTCAGGAAAATTGGAAAAACCAGATAAAATGATAGCACTGATTATCGTATTCTCCTGTGTAACAGCAATAGCAGTACCTGTGGTTGCAATTTTGATCTACGTGTCAAGGAAAGCAAAGATAAATGGATCCTACAGTCTTGTAAAAGCACTCAGGCTGAAAGTGTGATCACATGAATATAAGTCTGAGTTCATAATAAGCAATGTTATTTATTGTTGTGTATGGTTCTGCTCTTCTCTAACATACGGTAACAAACAAGTGACTTAAGAACACTGCCGTGTGATAGCAAATAGATGTTTTTTCATGTTTTGAAAAGTATTTCAGTATTTAAATTACAAAGAGAAAGCTAGCCTCCTGTCCTAGAAATTGGTAAATCACCGCTGTGTTGAAGCATGCTGAGCAAAGAGTTCCTTGGAGAATTAGATTTGTACATAGTGTATAATTTGTGTTGTAAATATGTTCAATTGAATATCAGTTTGTAAAACTGCAGTCTTGCTGCAGCTGTACAGAGAAATGTTCTTACTTCAAAGATCAGCATTACCTGAGCTGATCAGGTGATAGTATTTTATTATGTATTACTCTATAGAGTGAATGTTTTTAATATAATTTGTCTGCTTGTGGTAATGTTTGGAAAATGTTCTCTTTTCACTCATATTGCCATAAACTCTCTACTTTCAATGAAATTACACAATCACTGGGTATGCATTTCTAATTAATTTAAATTAATTTAGTATCTCAAGGCTCATTTGTGAAACATTTTATTTTATTCAGAACATGTCTGGGGTTACAATCTAGTTAGTTTTAGGACAGCTGAGGTATTTTTGTAGGATTTAATCATTCTCAAATCAATGTCAGAATTCTGTTCTTTCACGATGAGCCAAATCAGTCTCTTCATTTAGAATATAAGCTGTCGATAGATATGCTTTACAGATTTCCACTGCAAAATAAAACTACTAGTAGGTTACGTTTTTTTAACTAGATTTCCCTTAGTGCGTCTTTCTTAAGATTATGCCTGAATACACTTCTAGAGAAGGAACGAGTGAAAACTATTACCCTTAGCACAAGCAGCTTCTAGTGTAATGGGAAGTCCTAGCTGTAAAGGCACAAGCAAGGCAAGCAGCAACTAAAGGCATAGGCAAGGGGGAAAGACAAAATCTATAAAGCCTCAGCAATGGTGGCTGAGTTGTTTGCTGAAGAAATGCCTTTCCCAAGCTGCTCACTGTGGAAAATTAAATCACTTGCCTCATAACTTTCCTTTTAGTAGACAACTTATGTCTGCTTGCTTCACCCTTCACTGGTTAGCGCCTTCTTTCACTGCACGGTCTCTACAGTGTTGGCAAAATGGCAGTGAAAATAGTGGGCTTTCTGTGTAAATGCAAAGATGAAGGGGAAGGAGAGGTGAAGTTTGATAGTGTTCTCCCTTGTATCCCTTCTGCTGGCTAGCAGTGCTGCTTTGGCTCATCTGGTTGGTGATGCTCAGCACTGAAGGCAAGGTTGTGGGAGGTACAGGTAGTGTGGCTGAGATGTTGAAATACATCTAGTCTCAGCAGCCCTGAGCTACTGTGTTAGGCATAGGAAGGTGGGCTTGGCTCCCCCAAACTTGCACACCCAAGTTCAAGCACAAGGTTGAGCACAGATATGTGAAAATAGATTCTTTACATGATACAAATGGTAACAACTGCCCCTGATAGCAGTACAAATACAGATGTCTCTTGGTAGCTAGCTGCAGGAGGAGGCAGCAGTGCAGAACTCCTGTATCTTTTTCATAGCATGTTCAGCAGTGCTTTGTGCACAGAATTAAAAGTGGAGGTGTAGCAGAAAAATGGGAGAGCAGTGTGGACTTGGCTTGGAGGAATGTGAGCATGCAGTAGGAGGGTGCAGAAAAGATTGAAGACAGAAGAGGAGGAGAGCTTTGACAGGCCCATGACATAAATTTCTTGGAGGTGGTGCCAGGCAGATTTATTCAGAATAAATTCAGGCCTGTCTCAGTGCAGTCTTGTTTAAAAACCACAAAACATGATTTTTCCACTGTGCAAAAATTTGATGCACACACATTTTGCCTACTGGGTATAGTTCTGGTATATGTGTTGCAAGAAGACTGGTTAGAAAAGAGAGAGAGAAGGAAGACTGGAAAACAGGAAAGTACCATGGTACTTTCCAGCTTGGAGAGAGAATTCTGAAGGAGGAGGGGATGTGACTGACATTTTCAAAATTGTGAAGGCAGTTGATAGCAAACAACAGATGCAGAACTGCTGTTTGCTAAATCAGGCTATGCCAGAACTGCAGGGCACTCAAACTAAGGAGAGAGTGGTTTAATGAAAATAATAGAAAGTACTTCTTTACACAGTGAATGGTGAACTACTGGAAGCTACTGCAGAAGCTTGTGGAGGATAGCAGTATCACTTAGCTCAAAAGGAGAATGGAAAAAGCAATGGACTAAAGGTCCATAAACAAGTACTGAAGGGAATAGGCAGAAATGTACTGTATAACATCCTTAATCCAATGCCATTGATGCTGAGCAATCCTCAGGGAATCCTGCAGAAGGTAGATGCAGATTTGCATGCTCTCCTGAAATAGTGTCTCCCACTGCTGGAGACATAATGGGGGAGCTGGATCACTGGTGAGACCCAGTGAGGCCATCTTACGCCTTCTCTGAGCTGTTTTGGGCCAGGCCTACTTGGAGAAGGGACTTAGCAGTTCCTGGACTGTTTTTCCCTCTCCTGTAGTCCCTTAGAAGGAATAAAAAGAGGAGTGGGAGAGAAATAGGAATCATCTTGCAACAGCACTTTGGTGCTTGTGTAATCTTTCCTAGAAATTCTTCTGTGGGTTTCCGGTATCCTCTTCATCAGTATTCATGGTACAGATATAGACCTTAATGTCTACATGGCTTGTTTGCCCTCTTAGGGTCTCTATTAAGTAATTTAAGTCAATAGATACTGGCCTGTGATTCCAAGAGGGCCAGGTTTTCACCCAGAAACACCAAATGAATAGAGCTTGTAGTGCTCATTTGAGGAGAGGCTGCTCTTGTGTGGGCAGCAAGCTTCCTCACAGTGAAATCACAAAGAAGAACCTTGCCAGGGGATCTCCTCCCCCACTGCTCGATTTTCGGTGTTTTCCAGGGCGCTTAATGATTAGAGCAGAAGCTTGTCCTATGGAGGTTAGAAGTTCACAGTCATATAACTTCTCTTTTTACTGGCAATTGCAGAAGGAATGTTGTTTCGTCTTGCACTATTTCTCATCAAGCAAAATGCAGAGCCTCTGCTCTGGCGAAAGGGCATGAACAGCAGCTCCAGCTCAGCAAGCCCTTTCAGAAGGGGTCAGAGCCACCTGGAGGTCTAGGTAAGAGTCCCTGCTACAGGGCCTGTCTTTGTGACCAAGAAAGTGGTCTGTAGAGTAAAGGGCTGTGACAGGTCCGCTCAGGTTTTCTCTTCCAAGTTATCTCACAGATTATAGTGTTGTATTTTCCCCTGCCTGGACCTATGCTCAAGCATACCAGCTGCACTTGTGTCCTCAGAGTAGGGGTTTATCCCAGCAATACCATAGGGGATGGGGCAATGCTAAATACTAATGCTAAAATGAGCCTGGGTTTTTAAAGGTGACTGCAAAATCTCACTCCCCATAGCTAGTTCAGGATGTGCTTTTCCTTAAAATGTAAAGCTCAAACAGAAGGAGACACAATTTTTAAACTTCTCTAAGAACGCTTTCAAATTATTTTGTAGGTATACCGAAGGGAACAGTCAATATATCTCATGAGAGCGAGGATGTTGTCTGCTGGAGATAACGCTGCAGGTCCTGCGTTTGCAGGGACAGGCCCCCTCTGGTTGCAGGGACGAGCAGGGCCTGATCCTGGTGTTTAAGGCCAAAAGACGATCTGGTGTCTCTGACTGTGGCAGGCCACTCAGCTTCGTCGACTTGCTGCTGTGCTGGAACAGGTAACTTCTCTGAGCAGAGTGCATCCCCCTTTAAGGAATCTGATTTTGACTGGAAGTTCCTCACAAATGGAGAACATACCATTGTTCTTGGTAATTCGCTGTGCCCTTTCTGTTGTACATACATGGCCTACTTCCTAGCCTAATTTGTCTGACCTTTTACGCCTTTCTCCCCACATGATAATTGCCTACTGTAATGAAACTGTCTCTTATTTCTTTGATAAACTAAACAGATTGAACTGTTGTAAACCTACCTTTTGCTTTTTGCAGTACAAAGAAATTTAGACATTTAAATCCTAGATTTGTGCCAGGACTAACTGAAGGTTTACTTTTTTAAAAGTCAAATACGCGTTTTATAAATAGATGTGACAGAGGGTCTGGGACTCTCTGCTTATGTGACTTGAAGTAGGACAATGACTTTGGGTTTTTTTTAATTGCAATAATGAGCATATGAGGAAATCAGAATGGCTTTACTGCTCTTTGTTGTGCTTAATTTGTTGTGACCTAATGCTGCTGATTTTTTTCTCTTAAACATTTTGCCTTTCCTTTGAATGAGAGGCAGATATGGGACATCTGCTCTCAGCAGCTGAGAGAAATGGTGCCATAGGTGTTCAATGAATTTATGTTCCCAACACAGATGTCACACCTTGAACACACCCATCTATTTCAGACTTTTATGGTTTTTTACGTATTTTATGTCGTTCAGAGACTTACAGCAATGGAGACTATCAGTTTTAACAGTGAGGTAACTTTGATACACTGCTGCCGGTTGAGCCACAGAACCTCTTTGCTTTGGCTAGTGAAATCTAGTGGATTAAACTAGCTTTTTACATTTCCATGCACTTGGTATGCATGCAAAAAAACTAGCACTAGATCCTTTAGCACTATTTTAACATGCAGCTGAAGAGAAAACTTCAAAAATTGGAGTTGGGGTATTTACTGGCATTGTATCTTGACCTAATTGTATCTTGACCATTGTATCTTAAACTAATGGGCTTAAGCAACAAAATCTTACCACAAATGGTGCGTTTGTTTTCTTCTTTCAATTTCAGAGAAACATCTAAAATAGAGTTAAAACACAACTGCCTGAAGTTTTAAAATTACATCAGAAATGTGAATGCTATTGTTTCTATTGATTCCCTGTTCAACTAAAATTTAGGAACATTTTGTCCCTCCATATATATCCAAGCATTGTAATGGTAGAGTGAGGCAAGACAGCACGATTCTTCACTCCTGAATAATTCATTCAGGCACTCTTATCTGAAATGCATACAGAAATAAACATTTCAGGGAGACAGTTCAGTTTTTGTAGATAAGCCCTGGGAAAAAGGAAAGAAAAATT